TGAAGAAAACCCATCTGGATAACAGCAGACTGGCTGTTCGTAAAATATACGACAGGTCTGGACCACTCGTAAATTTTGTTCGTATCTGAAAAAAATCGTAGAATACGAAAACATTGGTGAATGCCACAAATTCTCCTAAATCACTCGTACGCACAATTTAAGAACAAATCTGTGCGTACGAACGGTTCTTGCATGAGGCCCATTGTTTCAGATTCCTGTCTCTACTTACCTTCACAGGTATTCTGAGCTAGCTGAATCACAAAAAGTAAGGAAGCCCTCTGCTGACAGATGGAGGGAATGCTGTGCATAAAACAATGGCTGTGACTTTGTTTTCCCTTCAACTGTGCCATCAGCTGAAAACTCAATGCAGCAGCAGTGCCACGGCCCGCCGGGTGAAATGTGTCAAACGTCCTCAAGAAGACATGTAGCAAGTCATCCTCCTCTAGTTAGGATTTGTCTGAGCATAGTAAAAATCATATATAACCACCAATACACAGAAATTCACCTAAAAGAGTCTATTTCCTGTGCTCTGACTCAACACAATACAGTATATAGGCTACATGTATTTGTCATTGCTGTCTGATGGGATTATCAGATGCTTCGTGACCTCGTGAGATGCACTTCCAAATGACAAAATATTCTGTTCGGGAAAGACAAAAAAGTGGACAATAATGTGAAGTGTCCTTTTAGTGACACACAATAAATAAATAAATAAATGAATGAATGAAAACAACATCCCGTGAGATTGAAGCATTACTTCTAAGTGCTCTGCAGCTACAAACAAGTCTGAAAGAGAAAAGTTCAGATCGTTTGAAGCGGGGTTCTGTAGAAAAGTTATGAACAGTTAATGCCTAACTTGTTTATTAAAATCCAATTCTGTCTAAAGTTTTTAATATTTTTGTGCCTGTCTTTTATCAAAATATTCCATGAATCACTGGGCAACAGAAAATGAACATACTGTATACAGCAGTGCAAATAAACATTGGTACAGATCAGTAATGTGTGTTGTTATGTGTTTTGTTTTCGACAAAATAAAAGGTGGAAGTTCATCTTATAGCTTCTTTATTTTCTCAACTCAGCAACACATTACATCATTCCTCTCTACTTTGGTCAGGAAGTCAAACTGTTGTTCTGTTGCAACTGTAATGAACACAACAGGTATTCCTTTCCCTATTTTTTTACAGTTTTGTTCAGACTTTTTACTGTTTTTTAAGTTCATATTAAGTATGAAGTTATAACTAGAATGTGAGGTGTGTGTGTTTGAGGATTGCCACTGTTAGCGTGCTGTGTTGTTCTGCTTTTAATGGTTTATAATTCAGTGAATTCGACAGATATTCTGCTAAAGTGTGCTGTGGTTGTTGATGAGTAATTTCCAACAGTGCTACTCATTGCTGGTGGTCAGAGGGCCTGGTGGCGCTGGTGCATGGTAGCCTTGCATCTGTCTGCCATCAGTGTGTGAATGGGTGAATGCTTGTGGTGTAAAGCTCTTTGGAGTCCGCAGGGACTTGATAAAGCGCAACATAAGTTCAGGCTATTTACTAGATATTTGCTTAAAACATTAGCATTAACTGAGGGAGTCAACCCTGTTTTTCTGTTRGCAWATTATCTCCYTAAACACTGGATTGGTTTTATCAAAACTTTTAGAAAGTAAACATACAACTAATTAACTTTTTGAGTCAATCCACTTCAAAGTGGCCAAACTGGCCACCACAGGTAACCTACATTAACCAACACCAAAATAGCKCAAACTCAGTCAAATTAACAAAAAATGATCCAAATGTTTATGTGGTAGAAGATCAAGTCAAGTAAAACTTTATTTTCCCCGAGGGGCAATCTGTTGCGCAGACAGCAGTGAAAGAGAAAAACCCACACATACAATGTACAACATACATACATATATTCCATGTCAACACTTAAAACATAGGCCTGGAATTAATCAGGCCAATTGCAGCTGGAACAAAAGATGTTTTCAGTCTGTTTGTCTTACAGTATGGCAGTCTGTATCTTCGACCTGAAGGTAAGAGGGAGAATTCTCCCCACAAAGGATGGCTTGAATCAGCTAGAACGACCTTAGCCTTCTTTAAAGACCTGGAATTATTGATTTGATTTGATTTGATTAATTTATTTAACAGGAAAAGATTATTAAAAATCAAGCCTGACTCAGCATAATTGCTGTTTTACAGCAGGTTCCTGTTCTGCAGCATATAAAACACTCAAATCATCATCAGCATCACAATCACATCATTATACACCATAGACACAAAGACAAACAAGCATACCAAATTTCAAAAAGGCAGCATTTGCAAAATCGGACGTCTAAATATGAGCACAACAAAAAGTGTCCAGCAGATGGCAGACAAGATTCTTCTCAAAGGGCTGTAGTTTTGAAATGGACTTTATGTTTTGAGGAATGCCATTCTGTAAGAAATACGTGTTCAATATCGACTAAAGTCAGATTAAAACACAATAGTTAAATAAATTGATTTGCAAAAGGAATAAGGT